GCATCTTTCCACCAAGGAGAAGAAAACTTTCAAAACCTGCGCCTCCTCTCCTTGACCACGGGAGGCGCTGTGGAGACGCAGAGGTGTGGTTAAGTGGACCACACCTGCTCTTTAATCTTGGGGAACCCCCAGCCTTTAAAACATGGAAGTCTACTCAGAGGAGGCAGCAGCCTCACTTGGCAACGAAAACTACCTGCCTGTTTCAGCTACAAACCGTGTTTTAATTTGAGGCTTCTCTCGCCTAGTCTGCAAAGTGAAAATGAAGGAAATCTTGCAGTCGGGCAATGCGGAGGAACTCAAGTGTAACCACAGTTAGGCATTAGAAGTAGTGCTGGCCACAATGCCATAAAAAGAGGGAATCAACGACTGGCCTGTCGTGCACGCAGAACAGTCATGATGGAAGTCAAGAGGTCCAAGCCAGCCTTTATTCTCCAGCCCCTCACCCCACTCCCACCACATATTCATACACAAACATACAGAGACTCAGGAGAGAAGGTAAAAATACATCTTACAGTAAAGCTACTACTGTGTTCTGCTAATATTCTCCTTCATTGGGCAGTTGGCCCAATAGACCAGCAGTCTGTATACAGAGAGACAGATCCATGAATTGAATGCTAAGTCACATTCCTCAAAACCATCATGCCGTTGCTATTCAGTCTACATCCCACAATTTCACTTGGAAAATTACAGGGGTACCAGAAAAGGAGAATTGCTTAGTATTAAATGTTTAGCCTTCATGTGAAAGAATTACAAAGGAAACCTAGCTGTGGTTTTCCAGGCCATATACTTCAGTCCACCTAATTCTAAGAGATGGAATAAGCCAACATGGCTATCGACTTCCTTTGCTTGCCCAGGTTACAGATTCCACTCAAACTGGAAAATCCAAGATCATTCTTCTATTCTTTTTTTTCTATGTGCTGCCTGGCATCTGAATGATACTGACCAGTATTCCTAGTAAATGAGGGACCAACCCCATTACTGAAGGTCAATGAATGGGAAGCTTGATTGTCTCTAATGTAGGAGCTCCAATATCACAATCATAAAGTATATGCCATACAAAATAGCCTAACCCATATTCTATTATGATTATTCTCTATTTGATTATTTTATTTTAATATCTTTAGATCATAAAGATACTTTATTGTTGCTATTACTTTTAAAACAGTACTAGGAGCAGGATTCAGCAGTCCAAGCTAAACACCAGGGAACTGTGGCTTCCTACTATGGGCCACGTTGAAATTGGAGGCTGGATAATTCTCTGGTATATGGAGAAGGTGGGTAGGCTGCCCTCTTCATTATGAGAGGCTAGGAATATCCCTGGCTTCTATCCCTGGCAGCAGCACCCCACCTCAAGACTATGAAAACTATCCGGACATTATCAGTTGTCACAGCAGAGGCAGTGTGGAGCAGGGAGAGGGAGGGGCGGGTTACAACAGAGCCAGAGTCAGACCTACAACATGTGCCTGCTCTGCTGTGAAGACAGCAGAGAGGAGAGCCAAGCATGTGGTCAACTCCTACAGTCCCAGCACTAGGGAAAATGAGACCTGAGGGTCATGAGTTTGAGGATGGCCTAGACTATATGACAAGTTTAAGGCTAGCTTGAGCCACACCATGAGGCCCTTCTTAACAAAACAGGGTTTGGGATACAGCTCAGTGGTAGGGATTGCTTCCTTGCAAACGGAAAGCCTCAGACTTAAAACAAACAAACAAAAATAGACAAAAAAGAAAATTACTTCCTCTTACCCATCATGTCTCTACAGGTTTTAATATCAGTTTAGATTCTTCTTAGATGTAACAGAGTCACTTTTTTTCAGAATTTCTAAAGCCTTGTATGGTGTCTTTTGAATATCTGCACCTTGAACTTCAAAGGGATAGTCAAAGTGTTCGACATCCACTAATTCCTGCTGGGCAAGCTATCGGTAAACTCCAGCCCAACTCCGCTTTGTGTCTTAAACTAACAGTATGCGAAAAGATCAATATGAAGAAATTCAAAACTAATCAGATCCCTTCTTTAAATGTTGACATAGTATTATTTATACCCCCATAAATACATTCTTGGCTAAAATTCATACTAGGAGCTTGGCACCTGGCCAGTTCTATTAATATCTACTTTATTTATACAGCACACTTGGCCAAGGATAATATTTAAGACAAAGTATGCCTGAGGGCATATACAATATCTCTTATATTTTCACTTTTAAATCTCCACATTGCTAAAAATATTGAGTTTGAACTTCATAAAATGTCCCACCAAGGGCCATCAACCATCTGTAGTGATATACAGTCACCGAGTATAATTAGGGCGTATTTGTAATACTTGAGCTGAAGTCACTCCCCAAACACTAATAAGTTGGTGGGGAAAAAAAGAAAAGAAAAAAGAAGCGGTGATCTTTCCCATGCCTTCCTCTATGCACTTATGGCCCTCTTCAGATTCACAGCAAGACAGAACAGGCACACACCCTCCTTTCAGGCACCATAGCAGCAACAGCCCAGTCCCAAGTCAGGCAGAAAGCGCTGAAGAGGGAAAGCTGGCACGTAAGCCAGTCCTGGTCACACTTCCAGTTTTCTTTGCTTTAAAAATACAATGGAATGGTTTTCTTTCTTTTCTTTTTCTCTTTCCCTTTCTTTTTTTCTTTTTTCTTTTCTGGAAGCTCTCACTATATTCCAGGACTTCCTAGTCCTGGAAAATCAGTTAACCTACTTTCTATAAAATTATCCACAGTCCCTGCACAGTTGTGTTGAATCTACTATTAATAAGACATTCTACTTCTAAGTGTCTACACTGAACATAGGTTTTTTAAAATCTATTTTTCATGTGAAAATATGATAGCATATGTGTGTATATATACATATATGTATATATACATATATGGGGGGGCATACACAAGTATATAGTGTTTAGGTTTTCATTTATTTGAAGGCTCAGGGGTGGGATAGAGATGAGAAGCCACACATTAATCTTAGATGATACTCTCAAGTCCTCCTGATATCCCGGGGAATGTCTCTAATTTGTTCATGACCATGGTCCTGGGTTGTCCTGTCTCTGCTCACCTTCATCCATCAGACTGAAGTGCTCCCTTGGCTAGCTCCCTCCACACCTACACAACGTGAGACTGGATCTTCTGTCTCTGCAAACATCCTGGCAGCTAATCTGAGCTTTTGCAACCGAACACCGAAGGAGGACTTATTCGGCCCCCTATAACATACTTGTCTGTCAGCCCAAATATCGGTAGAATCAACACACACACACACACACACACACACACACACACACACACACACATGCAAGAGAAAGCTAACTGACTCAACCCTTCGCTCAGCCTCAATGGTTCTGGACTAATTACAATGAACTCTCTTCGTTAGCCTCGCTATGGCTCCACCCCAGATAGAAAGCCTTACTTCCCAGGGGGAATAAACAGGGCAGAGTGTAAGTGTCGCCACTGTGGTGGTTAGGACCATAACTATAATAATAAAATCATCCTGCTGGGCAGGGTTCCCTGCATCTGTTACGCCATGAAACAAGAGACACTACAAGGTAAGAAAAGTGACCAGAAAGAGTGTGGGTAGACACTCTGAGGACACCAAGTGCAAGACAAGGCAAGCTGACTAGCTACGGCTCGTCAAACTAAAAATAAATATTAGAAGAGAAAGCACCACCCTGCAATTCTAACTTCTGGGATAAAATTACCAAGATGGCTGCATTATCTATTTAGGCAAGACACCGCGGGGACTTCACAAAGGCAGCCAGCGAGGATATAGGGCATGAAAAGGGGAGGAGAGAAAGACTCAGCCAATGAAAAGTTTACGACGGGGACTTGGAACACAGGGATGCTCAAGTTTTTATTTTTTCTTTTGGTGTTTCTTCTGGTGTTTAACCCTCTCAGGTAATCACCCAGCGATGTTGCTGCTGCAGTCTCAATCACGCTCTCTCCCCTCCTCTTCTCCCTGTTTTAAAGAACTCTGAAATAAAACTACACTAACTGTACTTCTTCCCTTCCCCGCAAAGAGCTCCACAATAAATCACTGCTACTGTATGCCAGCTGTTTTGAGGATACTGCTCGTAGGGAAACAGGGTAAAAATATTTTTTAGAAAAATCAGCTGTCTTTTCTAGATTCTATTTCAGAATGCACAGGAGTCCCCACTGCTTAAGAAAGCGCTGGAGCAGAGTTCAAGGTTGAAAAAGATATCGGAGAATACCCTAAGAAAAATGACCTGTTCTCAGCCTAGTGAGGGCTAGCTAGAAAAACAGAACGGGAAGTGAAACCTACTTCAGCCCAGTTAGAACTGTATTTATCCTTTCTACTCTCCAAGTGAGGTCAGAAGGGGACTCGGGACATGGTTTTGCGAGGGGAGGAGTGTGAAAACACCTACACAGAGAGCACCAGAAGATCGAGGATTTAAGGGGTTTCAGTGTTGTCACCCCCCCAACACCCTGCGCGCGTTTGGTGTTGGTGATGCTGACATTCTTAGGGCAGTGAGAAACAATAGCAAAGGCTTGGGGAGCCCCCAAATAGGTCAGTACGGAAAGGGGGTGCCTTTGGGAAGGCTAGTTTGAAGGCACTTTTTTTTAACTCTTTGTGTACTGGTTGGAGGACACCCCCACCCCCACCCTGCGCCAACCCAGCAAAGAAAACAAATCTATCAAGGTCCCCCTAGCCTAAAGTCATCCGGAAAAGCGCTTTCCTTTTGACAGAAGGGAGCTGACTCCCTAGTTGGTGGACCAGGGAAGAGGGAGAAATCCAAACGTCTTTTAAAAAGACTGAGGCGTTTGGGGGAAGGGAATTATAGAGAAAAAATAAAAAATAAAACCTGCAGATCTCCATCCCACGACTGGAAAGGAGGTGGAAGGAGCGAAGGACAGAATGGAAAGGGGGCGATCGGCACCTGGGGACCTGGAGAGGAAAGGGCGGACGCCTAGGGCTGCTGTGGGTCTGTGGAGCTCCGGGCCAACCTTAGACTTGGGGATGGAAAAGGCGAAAACCGTGGAAACCGTACTTACTTTCGGAGGGGAAGTGGGACGGCATGTCGATTTTATAAACCTCCTTGGCGTAGTACTCTTCGTCGCTCCGCTCGCGCTCGCAGGCGGCTGCCCTCCGGCTTGCCTTTTCCTGCAGTAAGTCCCTGGTACTGTTGTATATGGAAATCACCTCCGGGGGGACCTCGTCCGGCTCAGGATAGTCTTCCGGGGGGCTGGTGAGCTTCAGCTTGCTCAGGATCTGCCCGCGGATGGCCTCGATTCTCTTGCGCATAAACTGGTCCATGTCGAGGGTGCTGCAGGTAGACAGGCTGAGCGCCACCGGGACCAGATGCAGGAGCAAAAAGGTTCTCAGCACACAGTAGTGCATGTTTTTAAAAGGTGGGAACGTTGCTGTTGTTGTTGTTGTTTAAAGTAAGAAAAAAATATAAAAAGAAACCAATAATTCTCAGAGCAAGTCAGGTAAAGTTTTTTTTTTGTTTGTTTTTTTAATGCGAAACTTTTGCAAAGCAATCAAAAGTCAATGCCCGATAGAAAAACGTCCCTGCTGTGATTCCTTTAAAAAAAGAAAGTGCAACGCGTTCCCAACGTGGAGACAGTAATATGCAATGCTCAAGCGTGGGGAGGGGGTTCTCACTTTAAGGAGTAAGAAAGGTTTGTTTTCCCCCCAGGAAGGGAGGGAGTGAGTGGCTCTGAAGTAGAAATAAACTTAAAAGGAAGAAATGGAGTTCTGTGTGTCAGGCTCGGGTGCGGAGTGGCGGATCTGAACTCGGATCCTTCGCCCAAAAGGGAAGAGACGAGAAGGTCCGGGGACTGGCAGGAGGCGCGCAGGGCCGCGGGGAGCGCAGAGCGGCGGCCGGGGCTGCGCCGGGCTCTAACTGAGATGTTCAAAGACCGAGCGGCTGGGGCCTGCCTTCCACACGTGTGTGGATGAGTGTGCGTGTGGATGTGTGCGCGCGTGCGTGTGTGTGCGCGCGCCGAGGGCGAGCCTGGCGAGCCGCGGGGAGGCAGATGCGCCCCGGCGCGGCTCACTCGGGGACTCGGTGGGGTACTGTCCGCCCCAGAGATCCGCCAAGACCGGAGCAGGCAGCGACGATCCTGCTCCTGCGGCCGCGCTGTGGCCTACACCCGGCTGGGTCGCTCCACGTTGCAGCCGCCGCTGATGCCTGCAAAGGGGGTTAGGTTCCAGCTCCGTCCTGCAGATCCTCCTCCTCTTGCTCCAGGCGGCCACCGGGCGACAGAGATCGGCCACCTCCTTCACCCCCTGCGGAACAACACCGCCTCCTGGGCGGGTTGGCTGCGGGGCGCCTCGGAGACCCGCACCCTTCCCCAGCCTCTCCTGGCTTCCAGCAAGCTTGCACTTTCTCGGTTAGGGTAAGAAGGGACTTGCGACCCTAAAATAGACCTCTGCTGATACCTACTCCTCTCTGCAGCCCGGTGGCTTCAGGACGGCTCCTTAAACCCTAATGCTTCTACTCTTCATCCCTGTCGCCTGCCCTAGGGCTCAGCTCTCTGCTTGTTCTCTCAATCTCTCGCCCCGGCTCTCTGGCCCACAGCGTCCGCAGCTCAGCTCCGAGCAAACCTTCTGCTGCCAGCAGATAACATCACGATCCTGCCCGGAGCAGAGATTTATAAATGCTCCCCAAACCACGTGTTTGCCTTCAACAAAGTGACGCGCTAGGATTACAGTCAGAAGTCCTCTGTTACTAAGACCACGAGCTCTCGACCGTTGAGGGGGTGTGGAAAAGGGGACGGCCCGTGGGGGAGGGCCACCGGCAAGAGCCATTTGGAGCTGTCTGATCGGTGAGGGCTGTCGGTGGAGGGGCAGGCAGCTAAGCATCTCGTTTCTACATGGAGGGGCTCATTCATTCGCAGCCTTCCTGGTTTTTATTAGTCTGTTTACAACCAAGCCTTCTGTTTGTCTGTGAACTAGCAGAAAACCGGTCCACCTTTCCTCCCCATAAAGGAAGCATTGCCTTCTTCTTTCTATGGCTTTCTCCTTTCTTCCTAGACAGGGACTATCCACCATCTCCATTCTGCCCACAGCATACATCTAGGAAACCTGGATTTTAAACGTTTGATGTCTACTGTTACATAGTACTCATAGCCTTACATTTTCTATACCGACCTGTCCAAATTAGATGGATACCAGAATCATTCTTACCACTGTCCCTTTTCCTTTTCGCCTTTAGTCAAAGTCAGCATTTCAGTTTTAGCAATGACTCTGTGGCCACACTGACTAGACAGATAATTTAAACTGGAAACTGTTGAGTATTCCCCCAAAGTCAAGATCTCTATATTATTTCCTGGTTCAGTCATTTCCTAGTTCAAACAGAACCGAGCCTTTGGGGATACATGCAGTAGATGTGTGTGGGAGGGACTTATATTATTAATAGAGGGAGCTGGGTAAATAGCAATGAGAGCTGGCATACATTCCATACAGCAAGGAAGAATATTATTTATATTTCACAGACAAGGAGGCAGAGGCCATAGGAAGTGAAGTCCGTTGTTCTAGAGAACAGGAAGTGGTGGGCCTGGACTTCGCAGGGAAGGCCCGCTGCCTGAGTTCTCTCTCACTCTGCCATTCTAAGAAACACCAGTTCCAGAACATCTGATAAACAGGGATTCTGAGGTCAAGTCAGCATGGGTGATGCAGAATAGTCTACTGCCCTCTTACAGAACCAAGATTCCCACTGTCATGGTCTGTGTTCTAAGAATCCTGCAGCAAACTTCCTCCTTTATCACCTCCCCACCCACCTTGAACACAAAATTCCTCTACTCCACCGACCCTGTAAAACCCTGGAGAGAATGAATTGTTCCAACATGCACCTAGATGATTCTGAAAAGTATATGAAACCGCCATCATCGGCAGACTTCTGGTCAGCTTCAGATGGAAAGAGCTCTCCCAGCAGAATCGACCAAGAGCTAGTGTGAGGCCATCTTAATCCAGCTGCACACAGAAGACATGGAGTGGGAGCTAGAGCTACCGAGGGCCAATGTCACTTGGAACACTGCGGCTTGTTGGGGGGTGCTGCTATGATAATCTGCTCAGCACCTAGGTAGGGCTTCCCTTGAGGCCAGTGAGCATCTCACCTGGTGCTTACTGAGACTAACCTGGGGAACAGGCACAGGTGCATCTTAGGATGAGTGGATGCAGAGAAGGACATGGGCAGAGCAGCAATAAGCCCCGTATTAACATGTACTCCATTCATGCAGACATGCACCCCTCTAACATCAGTAACCACACTCTTGTCCAAGATATACAGCTCTATATCCCTTGGGCCTGAGACTGGACCTCTTCCTAAGAGGCTCCTTTAGTTTTCCCAGAGCCCAGGAGGTGACAGACACCTTCTGGGATGGGCAAGCATAATGACTCAAGTCAGCAGGAGGAAAGGAACCCTTTCTGCCTCACAGGAGAGGAGTTCTCAAGAGCTGTGCTCCTTACCACAAATGGATTTGTCTTTAGCAGCTAAGGCCTTTGCACCCCATAGTCAGGAAACAAAGCCACCACACCTATTAAGGCTGGTATGTACTCGGGCTCCACAGGCTGTCTGGTAAAAGAGCACATTGTGTATAGCATCTTGACCTCAGTGCTCAGAAGGACCACTCCAAGAGTTCAAATTCCTGTCACTGTGGCCTGTGAACCTATCAGAACTATTCAGAGGCTCCATTCATTTCATGACCTGTGGGACTGGGAATATACGCAGAAGACTGTAAGGAGGAGTCATTATACAAGGCATAGGAAGTGTTTATAACAAAGTTGGAGCCTAGTGTCTGCTCATTAAGCCTTAACTGCCATTATCTTATCCTTCCTCTATTGCAGTTAGGGGCCACTGTCAGGCATGTCTATGTCTCGTCTCCTTTCTTCATCAATGGGTCAGGGGAGGAGCTACATGAGTCTGCTTCATGGACACACATGCCTTGTTTAAAACTTAGGGTATTTTGCCCCTCTGTAATTGCAGAATGAACAGCTAAAAGCACACTTTTGATGAAATACAATACGAACTTGCTACCAAAGTTCAATTAGGCATTCAGCATCATTAAGGTCTCTTAACACCCTGAAGTGAAAGGTTTGGTTTCTAGGCCAGCAAGGTTGAGGGTGAGGAAGCAGCTGTGTCCAATCGAAGCCCTGAGTGCTCATTAACAGGCCTGTTATTCACTTCAGTGATGTGGAGTGCATGCAAAACAAAACTGCGTGTGCCTGTCCTGGGGTCTGTCCCTCATGTCACAGCAACCGTCTGACCTGACCTCTCCAGCCTCTCATCAAAAAAAAAAAAAAAAAAAAAAAATTATTTATAACAATTCCGAAAGCTTTCTCAATACCTCCTAGCATTAGAATACAAAAACAGGAAGTGGGGGAAATATACGAAGCTGCAAAACATTTTTTTCAATCATCAAATTGTGACAATAAGTGCAAGAATAATCCTTTTCCGTTCTTATTGTAACTTACATCTTTACAGTTATTTGTGTGTGTACACCTGCCATGGCACACCTGTGGGGGTCAACGGATAACTCTCCCACCGTGTTCTCTTCCTTCCACCACGTGGGTTCTGGGAACGGAACTCAGGTCACCGTGCCTTCACCCCTGGAGCCATTTTTCCGCCCTGTGAGTTCATCTTTGATTCCACGACTGAAAAACAATGCTTGGACCACATCTTTTTTTTTCTTGGGTTCCGTGTACATTTTAATAAACAAGTTTAACTGTGGACTAAGAAGTTTGCTGTAGAATAATAAAATAATAAAAGGGGCCAAGCAGGCTCCCTCAGTAAAGTCCTTGTGAGCGTGAGAACCTTGGGGTGATCCCCAGTATCTACAGAAAAGCTGGATGTACACGTGCAGCCCTAGGGTTGGGGAGACAAGACAGGAGGCTTCCTGGGGTGTGGTGGCCAGCTGATGGCACCAGTGACCTTCGGGCTCAGTGAGAGGCCCCAGCTTACAAAATAAGACGGAGGGTGAGGGGGGTGATAGAGGAAGACACCTGACACCAACCTCTGGCCTACACACACACACACACACACACACACACACACACACACACACACACACACACAGAATAACAATAATCTGTCACTATTTTATCTGGCAACTGTAGATTGATCTCAGTAAGAAGTGATGAGACAATGTCAGGGAACACGAAGAGAAGGCCTCAAAGAGACCTGTGGTCGAAGGGGAAATGGTTAAGTTGAAGAGGTGAAAACAAGGAAAGGCAGAGCCCAGGCAGTCTTCAGGCAGTATGTGCTGACAATGCTCGTGGCCCAGCCACTCACGTCTACCAGCTTGGAGACAGTTCCGTCAAGAGCACAGGTACCTAGCAGCTCGGGCTGCCAACCCTCCCCGGATTCCTCAGTGACGCCTCTGCTTTCTTGGCTCTGGTGAAATCCATCCACTAAGATGGCACTTAACCAGTGGCATAAGCACCCAATGCCAGTGCTGAGGTGCAGAGCCAGGAGCAGAATCCCCTGTCCGGTTTCTGTCCTCTACCGCCTGTGTGGTCCATAGAGACGCCACACGGAGCCAGGGCACTGGGGAAGACGAGCGAAGTATTTGGGCCAAACAGAAATTCAAATGAAAGAAGAGAAGGCACCTGACAGAGGGCATCGGGTTAGGGTTCTCCTCAGTGAGTCTGAGAGAACACAAATGGAAATGTTCTTGCGTGTGTGTGTGTGTGTGTGTGTGTGCGCGCGCGCGCGCGCGCGCGTTCATCTGCATACTGGGTGCTTGTGTGTGGAGGTCTGAGAACAACCTCTGATGTCATCCCTTAGGCTCCATCCACCCTTTTGTGAGACAGGGTATGTGACTAGCCTTGAATTCACTTAGGAGGCTTGGCTGACTGGCCAGTGAGCCCCAGGGACCTGCCTGCCTCCACATACCCAGCAATGAAATTATAAGCACATCTACCATGAAGGACTTTTTTTTTTTTTTTAAAATGTGGGCTTGGGGGATCAAACTCAGGTCCTCTTGCTTGCAAGGGAAGGATGTGACTGACTGAGCCATCTCCACAGAGCCAAATGGAAGTACTTTTAAGATGTGTAAGTTGTAGGTGAATTTATCATCATTCACCTCAGGGGGCTTCAGCCTGTGTGAAATTCCAAATATGTACAATTCTACTAGCAACATCAAAACTATATTTCATCAACGTGGCCTTTCTACTGCCTCACTCTGCAATTTAAAAACACAAAAATAAAGCAGAAAACACAGGACAGCAGTAATTGCATAAAAAGAAAACCTCTTTGTGGTTTTTATGACTGATGGAAAAACTGGTAAATAAGTGTTTTAAGAAGTAAAAGTATATGTTAATAAGTATTTGTGAAAGCCCAGCTAGATGGCTTTGAAAGTCCTGACCACAACTTTCTGGTGACTGCTTCAACTCTCCAAAAAGAAAGTTCGAGAACTTGCAGACTTAATGAAAGTTCCTTCCTATTAATGAAATTAACCACATATTTATCACACAGAAGGCCTGTGAGGATGAAGCCATGCTCAAGCCATTCATCTGTAAGAAAGGCTTTGACTTTCCCCTTTTCCGGTTATAGGGGCCATGTGACACTCCATGTCCCCAGGCCTTTCCTCTGAATAAGCAGTGGATTCTCAACATCATCTCACCATCCCATTTTGAAAATACTCACTCTACAATTTTAGCAAATTATATAAAACCACACCATCGCTAAAGTAGAGTCTCCAAGAAGTATGGGGTTGCAGGCAAGCCAATCTCCTCCATGGGAAGAAAATGGGTAATTAATAAAGATGAGGAGGCCGGCAAAATGCTTCCGTGGACAAAGCTCTAGAAGCTCTAGAAGCCGGAACTCATGCAAAGGTGGGAAGAACAGACTACAAGGTTGTCCAAGTTGTCCCCAGACCTTCAGGCATGATGGCATACACAGCCCCCCCCCCCCCCCCCCCCCCCCGCCACTAATAAGAGGAGAAAGATGGGGATTAACAGGCATTTTATGTATTCGGTGTACTCATAAAAACACTTTGGAACATGAACAACAGAGAACCTTAGAAGTAGAAACCAGTGGTGCCCCTTACCATTCAGTACCACTACCGGAAACAAGAAGTACAGTAGTGGGGCTGTAGGTTGACTCAATCGGTAACATGTGTGTGTCACCACATCTAGCAACCTGAGTTCAATCTCCAGGACCCACGCAGTGCAAGGAAAGAACCAGCTCCCACAAGTCGTTCTCTGCCCTCCACATGCTCAATAATAAACTATAACTTAAAAATATTTTAAGTTCCATGGTTTGCATAATACTAATTTTTCATGCTGACCTTTCCTGTTTAATAAAAGCGGTTGCTCCCCCAAACCAGGGACTCTTGGAAAGTTAACGTCATGTACCGGAAAGAGTTGTATCTGAAATGTTCTGTGATCAATCTTTCTACAACTTATGGTTTCTGAGTCTGCTCTATATGTCTTTTTAAAAACAAAGGCATCTTTACAGTTCCTAAAAAAATGGCAAGCTATCCATCAACTAAAGAAAGAAATCAAAAACAGTGTGTCATGGTGACCCAAGTCTCAGTGACTCGGAAAGGACCTTACAGAAGACCAGGTTTATTTGCTCCTTGGAGACGTCTGTCTTAGGATTTCATGTTGAGCAGGACCATTAGTGAACACACTGTTCTAGGGTCAGTATGGCTATCTGACCAGCTGTAACAATTTAATCAATGCCAGTTACTCTCACGTAGAAAGCAAGTACTCAATTTGTGGGGGAGAGAAATTCCATCAGAGGATTCAATGGCAGCAGAAACTCTGCCACCTGGCGGACAGTGGTATTTTACAATTTCCAGAAACCCAGCATGTTCTCAATCTGCTGAATATTTTCCTCAGTTACTACATCGCCTGATATGAAATCATATTACTTGTCTAGTACGAATCCCTTTTAAAAACTAGCACACTTAACACTTTCAATTCAAGGATATTTTTCTATTACTGCACATAAAATAAAATTTACAGTTTTTAAAGTGTAACATTTTAGCAAACATCCTTGGTCAGGAGCTGGGGATGTGGCTCAGTTGGTAGAAAGCTTGCTTAGCATTTGGAAAACCCTAGGTTTGATGTCTAGTGAGGGATAAAAAGGTTGTGCTGGTGCACATGGGTCATCCCAGCACTCAGGAGACAGAAGCAGGAGGACCAAAATTTCAAGACCATCCTCATGTTGAGGCTAGCCTGAGCTACATGAAACCCTACTTCAAATAAAAAATCCCTGGTCAACAACAATGGGACATCTGCAACTATGCTTGAGTCAGCTGTTCTGTCCTAGATGCTAACATCCTCAGCTAAAATCTTTATAAGGCATAACAAAAACTCCAGCCGCTGTGTTAAGTAAAGGCCAACAGTCCAAGGCAATCCACTGCACCTCAGTACTAAGACCATGGGTATCAGACAGCACCCAGATAACCAAAATAAAAACTTTTAACTATCAGACATGCTCAGGAAGACCTGTAATGGCTTCTCCAGCAACACACTGAGCAATAAACTGACCTCAATGATCAAAACACACCCTGTGGGGGATAGAACTCAAAGATGCCATTGCCAGGAAGAATGGCATCTCTTGTTACTTAGTGTCTGAGTCTGTCTCACACTGTCTCACATGCTCATGTCACACTTGAGACCACTAAACATGCTCTGTTCTCTAGAATCTAATTTGCTCTAAGACATTAGTAGCTACTAACACAGTAGGCATCCTTTATCCACAGGGGACAGTTAAGGACGCCTGAAGGGCTGTCTTGGAACTGGAAAGCAGCAAGCCCTGTTTATACTATCTTTATTCCTCTATATACTTACCTATGGTTACGTGTATAATTAAGTTCGGCATATAATTAAAAATAATTACTAAAATATACTGCAATAAAATAAATGCACACTCTAAAAGTAGCCCGCCATACTACACATCTTTTTGCAACCTCCATCATTTTCCTAAGTCAACAACTTCACCTTTTCATTTAAAGGAAGCCTTTTAACAGCTGCCCTTTGGTACGAACTGCCAGCACCCACTGCTGTATTTGCCATTGTTCGGGTTATTTAAAGACAAGTACTGCAATATAATGGCCAACATGGCTACTCCTGGGTTGGTAGTATATACCACGTAGACACAGTGGACAAAAGGCTAATTCATTCTCAGGCAGGATAATTAACATTCTCTCACGCTGCTCAGAATAGCACACAGCTTAAAGCACACGGATTACTCCTGAAATTTTCCTTTTAGTATTTTTGAAACATGGTTGTCCACGGGTAACTGACAT